CTTGCTCTTCCTGGATCATTCCCCATCTCAGCAATAGCAGCTCCATCCATCTAGTTGCTCAGGTCAAAAACTTCAGCATCATCCTTGTCTTCTCTCTCTCTCACTTCCCACATCCAATCCCTCACAAACCCTGTCGGTTCTACCTTCAGCATACATCCAGGATCCAAGTCACCATCACCTCTTGCCCCCAAGACTGCAGTTGTCTCCTCGTTGATCTCCCTCTTCTATCCTTGACCCCTACAGTCTATTTTCAACATGGCGGCCAGCAAATCATCTTTTAAAAATCTACATTGGATCATATAACTCCTCTGCTCCCTATCTCACTCACAGTACAACCAAGGCTTTCAATGGCTACAAAGTCCTATGTGGTCCAGCTTCTGGTACCTCTTCTGACCTCCTTGGATCCTCTCCCCCTCACTTACTCTTCTCTTCAGCCACATTGACTTCCTTGCTATTCCTCAAACATGACCAAACATTATTCCTCAGGACCTTTACACTCGCTGTTCCCTCTGCCTGGAACATTCTTCCTCTAGCTTAGTGGTTCTCCAAGTGTGGTCCCTGAACCAGTAGCATCAGCATCACCTTTGACAGCATCTTTGTTAAAAATGCAAACATTTCTAGGGCTTCCCTGGTGGCGCAGTTGAGAGTCCGCCTGCCGATGCAGGGGACGCGGGTTCCTGCCCCAGTCCGGGAAGATCCCACATGCCGCAGAGCGGCTGGGCCCGTGAGCCATGGCCGCTGAGCCTGCGCATCCAGAGCCTGTGCTCCGCAACAGGAGAGGCCACAAGAGTGAGAGGCCCGCGTACCGCAAAAAAAAAAAAAAAAGCAAACATTTCTAATAGCCCAGACCTACTGAATCAGAAACCCTGGGGAGGAGAGGGGAGCCATCTGTGTTTTAACAAGTCCTCCAAGTAACTTGGATGCACAATAAACTTTGAAAACCACTGTTTCACATAGCTTCTTTGTCCATTCCCTTGGTTTCTTCAGCTCTTTGTTCAAGTGTTCTCTTATAAAAAAGAAAGGCTTTCCCTGACCCCTCTAAACTAGCACTCCCCCAGTATAACTCCCAATTCCCTTATTCTTCACAGCACTTACACCACAGGGTGCATTTATATGTTGACTTGTTTCTTTCTTTCCTGTCTCTCTCCTTGCTCTAGATGTAGGCTTTCTAAGAATCCCCAATGCCTGGAACAGTGCCTGGCACAGAGTAGGCACTCAGTAAACATCTAGGCATGAATGAGCCCCCTCCGTGCTCAAAAGGGAATTTGGGGCCCAGAGAGGGGCAGGGACTTTCCCAAGGTCACGCGGGGGAGCCGGGCCTCCTGGCGGTCAGATGCAGGACCCGCTTCACCGCATTAGGCTCAGCATGGCTGGCGTGCCCCTCCTCAGAAGCATGGCTCATTGGAGGCCCCCGGCACACCTCCCTTCCCTTTTAAGCTGTGCATGGTTTAAATGGTGAGCGCTGCTGCCTTTCATGTTCCAGGCTGTGTCCCTTCTCCTTCTGATCTCGGAAGCCGCCCAGACCCTGGTGCTGCTTGTCGGCCCCGCCCCGCTTAGCCCAGATCAGGAGGCTCAGTAATTGTGACTGATTTTCAAAGCCGCCTGGAGTCTCTGTAAGCACCCCGGTGTCGGATTTGCCTCCCCTTCAAAAAGTTGCTCAAATGAAACAAACTAATTTAATTTCTGCTTCCTCTTTCCCCCTCCTGGGTTCCCCTGGCTTGTCCTAGTTAAGTCCCCACTTTTTCCTGAGCGGAATGTCAGAGTCAGTGGACCGGGAGAGGAAGGTGAGGCAGGGCTGGGGTTCCTTAGGGCCGTGCTCATGAAGCTGGGGGCTGGTGCTGCCTCCCACTCTCTGGGTGACCTTGAATGAGTCCTTGCCCTTTTCTCGGTCTCACTTTCCCCACGAGTGACATAGGAACCTTGCTGCTCCAACAGCCTGGGAGCCAAGCCCAACTTGCTCAGTCATTGACTTGCTATGTGACTGTGGGTACATTTTCTCCTCTCTCTGAGCCTTGGTGTTCCCATCTGTTCAATGGGGATGTTGACATCAGTCCTGCCACCACTCGGAGTTGAAGTGAGTGAAGTGGTGATGGGCAAGCCAACCTGGCGCATATGGGGCTGCACCTCCTTCTGGATCCCTCATCCCCATCCACTCTCCACCCCACAGCAGAGGGGAATTTCTAAAATGCAAGTTTGCCCATGTTACTTCCTTGCTTAAGCCTTTCCCAGGCTATGTGCTTCCCTCAAGTCCTTCGCATATGATTCCAGCTTCCTTCTCCAGCCTTATCTCTCTCGTCATCTTTCTAACCTTTTCCATGCAGAAACATGCAGTTCAGTTTTGGGTGAAGAGAGAGAGGGCCATGTCTCCTTCGGCCAGAGTTTGAGTCCAGGAGTGAGGGCTGCTGGACCTGGGAAGTCAGGGCTTTAAGCTACTTCTCACTTGCTGTGTGACCTTGGACTCCTGCTCTGAGCCTCATTTCCCCACTTGCAAAATTGAGTTCTAAGTGCTCCCTGGGCCTTTGCCATGGACAACCTCCAAATTTATCTCTCTAGCTCAGACCTTGCTGCTGAACCTGTATACTGAACTGCCTTTTCCAAGATCTTTCCTTGGCTTTCTAATAAATACTTCCAACTTAGCAAGTCTGAAACCAAACTCCTGATTTCCCTCCATCCCCCCAAAATCTGTTCCTCCCACTGTTTCTTCCATCTCAGTAAGTGGAGATTCCATCTATTTAATTGCCCAGGTCAAAATCTCGATAGTCATCCTTGAATTTTCTTTCTCTCACGCCCCACATCCAATCTATTAGCAAATGCTTTCAGCTCTACTTTTGAAATATATCCAGAAGTTGACCTCTTTTCAATACCCTTACTGGTACCACCTTGTTCCAAGCCACCATCATTTCCTGCCTAGGTAACTGCAATATCCTTCTCAATGGGCAATCTGCTTCTGCCCTTACCCCACCTTCCCATCTAATCTTCATGGAACAGCCACAGGATCCTGTTAAAATTAAGTCACATCATGTCACTCTTCTGAACAAGCCCCTCCACTGACTTCCCAGCTTGCTGAGCCTAAAAGGCAAAACCCTGACTATGACCATGTGGCTGCGTGATCTGGTCGCTTTTCTGCTTCCCCTCAGAGGGAATTCAACCTTGGGACCTTTGCATGTACTGTTCCCACTGCCTGGAATGCTGTTCCCTAGGGCCCATGCCGTCACTTCTTTCAAGTCTTTGCTTCAGTGTCATCTTCCCAGACCCATGATCTGTTAACTTGTTTCCTGCCTGTCTTCCTCGGCCAGAATGTCTGCTCTGTGAGAGAGCAGGGAGGCTGGTCTACCTTCTCCTCGCTGTGTCCCCAGTGCCTATGCATATTTGTTCAATGAATGAATGAATCCGTTCAACAGACACATAGCCTGTCACATGCACAGGCTATGGCCGTGCAGGGGCACACCTGTGCACGTGTGAGATGCACATGCGCAGCAGGCACGCGTGCACCGTGCGTGTGTGAATGCCAGCCCACATCCACATTCACACCCTCGCCATTCCCTGTTCTCCCACCATTCCTTCATGCTCACCATTTTCTCCAGTCCACTCCCTTCTCTTCCGTCACCGGCTGCCCACTCACTACCCACCAATCTGCCAGATTTGGTCCAATCTGGGGAAGCCAGGGCTGACTGCACTCTTCCCCCAAAACCCAAATTCCCCCAGCCTCTGACATGTAGCTGCAGAGCTGGAAGGCCAAGTGAGAGGCAGTGCCAAGCCCTTGGCCACAGTATGTCAGCGACAGCACGTGTTCTAGGACCTAGGGCCACTGCTCCCTGTCCGGTCTGGCTTGCAGGTGACTTAGCCTAACGCGGTGGGGAAGGTGGCAGCTACTGGCTTGCCCCTCACGCCACGACTCCAGCTTCTACCATGAGCCCTCGGCTAGGTGGGACCTTGATGGTCGTTCCACTACCTGTGGGCCCTACGGTGGGGGAAGGCAGATTCGTCCAACCTTTCCTTTCAGTGTCCCGCTGCTGTGCAGATGTGTTTCTGAGGGTGTCTGGGTCTGAAGACTTCCTGCAGATGCGTGTTTCGGTGTGCGTCCTGCCTTTCACCAGGTGCCCCTGGTGTTTGCAGCCACACCTGGGAGGGGGTGGCTGAATCTGTGTCCGGGGGCTCGGCCACCTCTGTGAGCCTGTGTCCCCAGGTGGCTGGGTCTTGGTGTACTGGGGCTTCCTGTGGCCCGTGGAGGAAGCTGCCTGGAGGTTGTCGCGTCTGGCTGTGCCCATGCCTGTCTGCGGCTATGCTCTGGTGAAGCCCGACCCCAGGATGGTAAAAATGTCTGGCTGTGGCTTTCACCTGTGTCTAGGTAGGTGTCTGTGCATAAGCCGCATCCATGTGAGGGGCTGTTTCCTGGGTGACGTTGCATGTAGCTGTGTCTAGTGTGAGGGCACGTCTGGTTGTGTGGTGGGGTCTTGTTTCAGCTATGCCCTCTCTGGTTGATTTAGGTTGTAGGTGTGCCCATGTTCGGTTGTACCTGCATTTGTGTGGGAGTTGCGGCCAAGGGCTGTGCTGTGTCTGGGTGAGTTGAAGTCTGGGGAAGGGCCGTGTCCAGGTGGACAGCCATGCCTGTGTGTGTGACTGTCCCGATGCTGTCCACGCATGGGGCCGTGCCTGAGCCGGGCCGTGTACAGGTGGACAGCCGAGCTTGTAAGTGGGTCTTGGCCTGTGCGATTCTGTGTGGGTGTATAAGCATGTCCAAGTATGTCTCTGTGTCTGCACGTAGGTCCATGTCCACATAGGGACCGTGCCCGTGTATGTGCCTGAGATCACGTGTGTGTCTCTGTCCAGAAGTGCAGCTGCGACTGCCCGGGACTGTGCCTGAGTCCGTGCGGGCACCTGGGCTCACACCTATACCCTGTCTCCCCTGCCCCTCCCCGCAGCAGGCTCCTTCTCACAACCTGGCAGCTCCCCTTCCCCCGTTCCCCGGCTCCCCGCGCCCCTCAGAGCCGGCAACCCACCTGTGGGTGAGAGCTCGGCCACGCTGCCAATGTAGGGGCCGTGCAGGAAGCGGGGCTCGCTGTCGTTGATGTCCTGCACCTTGATGATGAACTCCGACTCAGGCTCCAGCAGGCGGTTGGTGGCGCGGTCCCGAGCTTGAGCCCGCAGCGTGTAGAAGGTTTTCTGTTCCCGGTCCAGGCGCTCCATGGCGTGGATGTCGCCCGTCAGCTCATCGATCAGGAAGATGGTGCCAGCGCCCTCGCCTGAGATGGTGTACTTGATGGCCCCGTCACCCTCGTCTGAGTCCGAGTGGATCTGGGGAGGCAGGGTGGAGGCTGGGGTGGGGGCTCCTCCTGGTGCTCCCCCTGGCCAAGTCCCACTGGGGGCCTGTGCCTAAGCACAGCTCTTCTCTGACATACCCATTCTTCAGTGAAGACACTGAGGCTGGGGAAGTCACGCGTCATCCCGGTCCCAGGCCTCACTGTCTGGGCTGGAGTGCTTCACTAGCCCGCCATGTCTTTTCCTGCTCCAGACCTGCCCCTGCAATCTACCTTCCCCTCTGCAGCCAGAGCTGTCAGCCTCAGGGGCAGACCTGAACACGTCCTCCCCCGCCTGCAACTCTCCCATGGCTCCGTATCGCCCTTACAAAGAAATCAGAACCACCTCCACAGCTCTCTGCTGCTTCCTCGAGTGCCCTGTCCTTATTTCTCTGTCTACTGAAAGTCTCCTCGTCCTGCGAGGCTCAGTTCAGATGCCACCTCTTCCCAAAAGCGTTTATGGATTCCCTCCCTCCCCCTACCTCCAACCCCACCATTCCCCTCCAAGGTCTTTGCAATACAGCAAGTTATCATTATGACGTTCAGCCTGTAGGACTGCTGCAGCCACGCTTCTCAAATCTCAATGTGCATGCAAATCACCCGAAGATCCTGGTAAAAAGCAGATTCTGACCCAGGAGGTCTGGGGTGGGGCCTCAGAATCCGCATTCCTAACAAATTTCCAAGCTGCTGGCCATGACCTCACTCTGAGTTATGGGTCCAGGATCCCTAGTCTCTGAGCCCCCGGAGGTATTTTCTTACTCATCTGGTACCTGGAGAGCCAGCCTCAGGGCTTGGCACATGCCGGGGACAGGGAGTGCAGGGACAGAGGGGGGAAAGGGGATGCAAATTGGAGGAGCACCTGTTATGTGCCAGGCAGTGTACCAAGCAATTTACATACTTCTCTGGTTCAGAGTTCTTTAAAAAAAAAAAAATCCCTACTAGGGGACTTCCCTGGTGGTCCAGTGGTAAAGAATTCGCCTTCCAATGCGAGGGATGCGGGTTGGATCCCTGGTGGGGGAACATGCCCCGGGGCAGTTAAGCCCGCGCGCGCCACAACTACTGAGCTTGCGCGCCTCAACGAGAAAGCCCGCGGGCCGCTAACTACAGAGCCCACGCCCTCTGGAACCCGCGTGCCACAGCTAGAGAGAAGCCCGCGCGCTGCAACGAAGAGCCCACGTGCCGCAACGAAAGATCCCGCATGCTGCAACTAAGACCCGACACAGCCTAAAAAATTAAATAAATAAAAACAAATAAAATAAATATTAAAAAAAATCCCTACTAGAGTAGGTTTTGCTATCGTCACTTTGCAGATTTTTTTTTTTTCACTTTCCCACTGAGGATTAGAGAAATAGGATGATTTGCTCAAGGTCAGACTGCTGGAGGAACCGGCCTGGTCCACAGCCTGGGCTTTCTCACTCCATCCTCAGGCCTCCTGGGAGGAGCCCATGGAGGCAGAAGAGGCAGTCCAGCCTGGTCCAGCCTCGGCTCCAGCATCACCTCCCTGTGAGTCCTCGCACAAGTCACTGTACCTCTCTGGGCCTCAGCTGCCTCCTCTCTAACATGTGGGTCATAATAGCACCTCCTTCTAGAGGTACTGGAGGGGCTAATTGAGCGTAAAGTCCACATAAAGCCCTTAGCACCTGCCTGGCACCAGGTGACACAATATGTAACGGCCAGCCCGGCAGAGGCACTGCCCATGGGGTGGTACTGCAGCAGGGCCCCTGCTGGTTCAGATGGGAACCCCTTGGATGCTGGATCACAGAGAGGTCGGAGGGGCTGAGGAGGCTGAGGCAAGGGAGAGGAAACAGACTATTTACCACAGGTGGGGAGCTTTTTCACTATTTTAACAACCGGCACAACGATACCAGTTTGTACAAGCGGAAAATCAGCCCTGCCTGTGACATAATAAGTGTCCCATAAATGGTAGCTATCGTTATTATTATATTATTACTAAATGTGAGCTATATATAACTAGGATTTAATCCAGGCACTGTTAAGCTCCAGAACCCAGGCTGTTTTCACTGCACTGAGATCTCCTGGGCAAGGAACCAGCAGAGGGACTGTTCTCCCAAACAGAAACACCCAAGTCCTAATCCTTCAACGTCCAAATCTCTGAGGCAGCTCTGAGCAGAGGAAAATGCGTCCAATGAAGCTGGTGACCTTGGGCAGGTCCCTGCTCCTCTCTAAGCTTCCGCAAAGATGGGGCGCGAACAAGAAAATCCCTAAGGCTCCTTTCGGGCCAGGACGGCATGTACCCCAGCCCACTCAGCAGGATAACAGGTGCCAATGAAATCACCATGAAGAGGGATGAAAGCCCACCCCCTGCCATGCAGGAGGAGTCTGAGTATAAATTCTGCTGGTGGAACTTTGTGTCTGAAAGGTGGATTATAGAAGTGCCATTTGGAAGATTGAATGGCCCATAAACATTTTCATATTTCATTAGCCGATTAATGGGCATCTCTCTCTTTTTGGCGAGTCTGCTGATTCTCAGCAGAAATTGCAGGGAGTAAATGGAGGCGTTGGGTGGAAACTTTCCGGGTCCCTGTCCTGTTATAGATTGCCCCGATTAATGCCCATCCTGGGCTCCACTGTGAAGCCTTCTTCCTGTCCAGTTACTGTTAATAGATTTCTCATAAGTGGCTGGATTGTAAAAACCTCATAACTCAGTTTAATACCCCCAATAAAATTATCTCAAGACATCAGCCCTGAATCACCGGCAGTGCTGGGGATGAGAGGAGACCTGTCTCTCCTGTTTGCTGTTTATGCTCTTCCTCCACCTTTGCCCAGGGGAGCCGGGGACAGGAGAGGGCAAACGTGTTCCCTTTTAGGGTGCCTCCGCCCACTTCCCAATCAGACCTGTTGCGGCCTTTTATTTAATCAGTAAACATTCCCAAAGAGTGTGGGAGAATAGATACCATTTGGGGGAATGCTTAACACCTGTAATCTTATTAGTCTTCGTCACCGCCCTATGAAACATTATTATTATTCCCATTTCTCAGATGAGGAAACTGAGGCACAGAGAGGGGAGGTCATTTGCTTTGTCACCCAGCTAAGTGCAGGAAGCCAATCTCCTGATCCCATGGCTCACTAATGTTGTGATCAACCTGCATGGCTTGTTAATTTTACCCCCTGGGTCTGTTTTTCCATCTGAGAAATCAAGTCCTACCTCGCACAGGTGTGGTGAAGATGAAGCGTGAGCATGTTGGTAATGACCTACACACTCTGTAAGTGGCTGTCTCCTTCCCTTTCTGTCTCCATCATGTCCCTGCTGCCCTTGACATTTTATCTCAGACCCTGGCCAGGGATCACCTACCATTGAGGATGGGGGAGGAGGGAGTGGAACCCAGTAGTGATGTCACTGATACTCTTCCGTGAAGCACGACACAGAGCTCACAGTGGGGTGCAGTGGCTACTCTCTGGGGACTGCAGAGTCCGAACAGGGCTGGTCGGCCTGCGGAGAAGCTAAGAGCTCAGAGCTGCAGAGTTGGGCTGGGTTGGGGCTGCTCGCCCCACCTGCCTGGGTCCTGGCTCTGGAGTGGAGAAGAAGTGCCTGTGGTTCTACTCCAGGAGGATATTTCTCAAGAATCTCAGCTATGAGGCTGGAGGACGGTGCTCTTATTTACCGAGCGCCTACTATGTGCCGGACTGCAGGCCTCTGCAGAAATCTAATTTAATTTTGTGGCGTATGTAAATATCTCCCCATTTTCCAGGTGAACAGACCGAGATGGGCTTAGCTCTGTTTGATTCCAAAGCGCAGGTTAGTCCCTCTGCAGCCTTTGGAACCTGGTTAGTCCACTTACAACGTTTCTGGCTAAAGAAGCGGGAGAAAGGAAGATGGAGTAGGCTACGGGGCATTCACTGGGCTTCACGGCTGGGGGAGAGGCCTGTACCACCCTGTACCCGCAGGCCATGGTTATCGGCGGCCTTTTCAATCTGAGCCTCTATTTTATCAATTTTATCATTTGGAAAAGGACTTCACGACACAGATCAGGAGAGGTGATGGGCCTTGTATTCAGGAATGGCCGGGTGCCAGCGTCAGCTTTGTCTCCCACTTGTTGCCTGGCCCTGAGCAAGAGGCTACCCTCCTCTGAGCCTCAGTTTTCTCATCTATAAATGAAATGGATAACGCTTCCCCATAGAGTCCAAAGATTCATCAGATAATATGTGGGAGCTCCTGGCACACAGTAAGTGCTCAGTGAAGATGAGTTTTCTCTCCTTTCCTGGCACCTGGTCTCAGAAGAGATTGAGGGTCACCTAGTTCCTCCCCCCATCTCCTGACGCAAGAACCGTAGGCTCAAATCCTGACCCACTGGAGACACAGGGGCCATCATGCAATATCTTCTTGTCTTTTAAACTCAGCTTGTTTCCTCCTTCAGGCAGCCCTCCCAGATGCCTTCCCATTTGCCCTCCCGCTGCTCTGTACCCCTGTCCCATGCACACTCCCCTCTGCTCCACACTCTCCTGTAACACCTTCGTGTTGCAATCTGTCTCCTCAGTTGTCATGGGGCTCAGGGGCAGGGACTAACTTTGATTTGTCTTTGTCTGAACTCCCCACGCCTGGCACACGCTAGCTGTCCTGACAATGCATGCAGAGAAAATACAGGGGGAGTGGGACAGACGAGTGTGAGTGTGTGTGTGTGTGTGTGTGTGTGAGTGAGATGGTGAGCTCCCTGAGGATCAAGCATATGGCTGTTCATTGCTCCCTGGTCCCCAGGATAGGCCACAGCACCAAACATTGAATACATGAATAATGAAATATACAACTGTCATTAGAATTCTCCAACTGTCTGCTGGGATTTGTGGAGGATCCAGTCACTCTGTTAAATCCCAGGTGCACATGAGCTAGACTAGGAAGGTCAGTCACTGGGCACACTTCTAGACCCCCTACTGTTACCTCCTTGATAGCTCATAATGATCTTGGGACTCAGAGATTATCCTCTCCCCATTGTACAGTTTGGCAAGCTGAGGCTCAGACAGGGCCCATATCGTACTTAAAGCCACACAGCTAACAAAAGGCAGCCCGAGGCCTGTCTGGCTCCACATCCTCGGTTCTTTGCATCGAGTGTAGACGGCCCCTGAGGGAATTCCCCCTCCCTAAGCCCCAGCCCTGGATCATAAACAACATGAAAAACACCAGAGTGATGGCTTCTCATCCTGGGGGGCTGAAAAATGGGATTTACGAGGCCATTAATTACTTCCTCCTAATTAAATCAAAATTAAATGCGAGCAGAGGTACGTTTTCCTTATTAAAGACAATTAAACGGACAGTGCGGCTACACAAATAAATCGAGTCCAGGATTTAAACGGAAAGCAAATCAAATAAAAAGCCTCCCCTGGAGCGAGGGGTTTGTTCATGTCTGTGCTACTCGTAAACCAGGAGTTCATCAATTTTCTTTAAATATTAGCAACTTAATTAAATCTGCTCTCCTCCTCACCTTAATCCTGCCGTATATCTAAAATAGATCTCACCGCCCACAGGAGTTGGTCATAAGTGCTGACCCCATAATTCTCTCTTTAAAAAAAAAAAAAGAAATTAAAAATCCTACAAAATCCACATCCAGCTGACAGAAGCCTCGGGGGAAATTACAGTTCGGAAAAGGGATTAGTCCAAGTACCCAGATTATATGGAAATGTTGGCTGGTTGCTTTGAGGGTGGGTGTTGTGAGAAGGTGAGGGGAAGAGGTGAGCCAGGCTGCCGGGGGTGCGGAGTAGGGGGGGCAGGACAGCAGAGGGAGCTGTTGGCGTGGGGCCCTGGTGACGACGACTGGGGCCAGTGGTTCCTGCAGGTGCTGACAGGAGCCTGGCGGTGAGTGATGGAGGAGGCAGTTGTAAAATAGGTTACCGTTGGGTGCCCAGGGTTCACTCGGCTGATGGTGCTGTTGCTAAGCTACCTTTGGAATTCGGCAAGGACAGATGCTCCCTATGGCTCCCTGGGGCGGGGGACCGGGAAGCAGTGAATTAACTGAAACCGTGGAGAAGTCCTTTTTCCCTGAAGAGCGAGAGAGCATGGTATGAGTGTGTGTGTGCATGCATGCACACGACCACTTGAACAAATGTGGGACTTGGCTGGAAAGGGGACAGGTGGTTTTTTAAAAGGCTGAGCTCATATTCCTAGAGCGAGGGGTGGGCTGGCAACCACGTCCCCCTACTTTCAGGTTGCCCAGAAGGCTTTCGGAATTGGGGGCAGGGGTTCATAATATCTATGCATACTCTAGGTGGTAGAAATAACAGGTGAGACCCATCGTAATAAAAGCTAATACTTACTGAGCACATACCAGGTGCTCTCCAGGTTCCTGACATATGCTAACTCATTGAATCCTCACCGCAACTCCTTGAGGAGGTGCCAGGTATAGCCTCACTCAGCAGATAAAGAAACTAAGGCACAGAGAGATTAAATAATGTGCCAAGGTCAGAGAGGGAATCAGCAGCAGAGCTGGGATTTGAGCCCTGGCAGTCTGGCTCTGGTTGGCCTCCCTGAACCACACACTATACCATCTTTCACAAGAAAGGGTGCTTTGGGCACATGTTTGCAAAGAGATGGAAACTTCTCTCTCCTTCCTGCATGGCGTGCTTTTCTGTAGGTGGCCTTGAGAGTAAGCAAGTAGGGGCTCTGGGTGAAGATGATGGAGGGGGAAGATAACGTAGTCATGACAGCAGTGGGGATGCTGCGAGAGGCTGCTGTGAAGAGAAGACCCCCAGGGCTGGGCACAGTGCTTGGCTCATAGAAGATGCTTAATATAGGACGGTACTGTACAGCACAGGTAACTCTACTCAATAATCGGTAATGATCTATATGGGAAAAGAATCTAAAAAGAGTGGATATATGTATATGTATAACTGACTCACTTTGCTGTATAGCTGTACAACATTGTGAATCAACTATACTCCAATAAAAATTAAAAAAAAATTGCACTGGGCCCAGACCCGGTGTCAGGAGAGCCTTGTCTCTTGGGGTTGGTTCTACCACTGTGCTGGTCTCACCCCATCTCTGTTAATCCAAACTCTCTGGAAAGCTAACTGGCCTTGGCATGATGTTCTCTGCCTCTAGCCTCAGCTTCCCCATCTTCTAAGGCAGGGACTTGCTAGGGTCCCCCCATCGCCGACAGACTATGGTTCAAGGCAATAGGGGCGGCGTTTGACTCATGACGATAATGGCTAGGTGGATGCAGTTTGCAAGTGGTGAATCAGCGGCTGGTTTCTCTCATCTTTTCAGGAGGTGAGCGGCTGAGGAAGCCTTCTCAGAGCCCCAGCTTCCGGGTAGACAAGCGGGCTGAGGTGCCTGAGGCCACCACAGCTGACATTCAGGGAGATGTGTCAGAGTCCTTCCCTGACTTTCTGGGGCTTCCTGGACCAAAATCTCTCTCCCAGGCCTGGAGGTCTTGGAGATGTTTGGAGAATCAGAGCACAGGTTCCAATCCTGGCTAAGCCACTTGCCCACTGTCTGCCTGCCCTCTCTGCGCGTCCAGTTCCTTGCCCACAAAAGGGAACGATTTCTACCTTGCAGTTTAAGGGTTAAATGCTTCACGTGGGAATAATGAGAAAACAACAATAAACAAACAACCAGGCCACAGGCCGAACACTTTCTGTGCTCAGTTTTCTTCTGTAATCCTTTCAACAACCCTCAGAAGTGGGCTCCCCTAGCCCCATTTTTACAGACGAAGAGACTGAGGTCCAGAGAGGTGAAGTAACTTGTTTCAGGTAATACGGTTAATGGGTTGGTTGGCAGAACCGGGCCTCGAGCTCAGGCGTGTCTGGCTCCAAAGTCTGCATCCCTAGCTACCTCACCATTAGCTATTGCCCAGCTGGCACTGGTTCCTCCTTCCCCCTCCCCTCACCCCATTCTACCAGCCCCACCATCTCACCGCCCTGGCTGGGAGTCAGGAGTCCTAGGCTCTGCCACTAGTTTGCTGGGTGACCTTGAGCAGAGACATGAACCTCTCTGTACTCTGTCAAATCTTCACTTTGCTCTGTTGTGGGGATCAACTTCAGCCACATGTATGGAGGGGAGAGTAGCCAAGGACCAGGGATGACTGTATCTAGACCAATGAGAATCTGGGTTTCCTGCAAGACAAACCCACAAGGTTTACATCAAACTTTCCTCTCCTCCTTGTCGAGGGTCCTGAGCCATGAGCCTTGAACTGAGCAGCTTGGTCAGCCTCCCAATTCTCAGACTCATTTAAGCACACAGGAAATTCCACAGTTGGTCCCCCCTCACCTCTGCTGACCAAAACTTCCTGGAAAGCTGACTGGCCTCAGCAGAAGCCAGAGAACTGTCCCTGGGCACTGCGCTGCTTTTCCTGCCCTATAAACACCCTCCACCTCAACATCTCAACTGCAGACAAGTCTCTGAAAAAGCCAGGTTCCGTCAGGCCTCCATGTCTTTTGATAGGTTATGCCCTCTTCCCCATCAGCCTAAACTCCTACTCATACATCAAAACCCAGCTCAGTCATTTAGAAAACACTTCCATGAAGCCAGCCAACACATACCACTTATTAAATGCCTACTCAGTGCCAGGTGCTGACCTGTGAAGCTTTTTATGTACCAGGGTGTCTCCAGCATCGCACCCATGAGGGGCTCAGGGATTAAATGGATGAACAAAAGTCCTTCTCAGCTCCTTATACTCTTAGGGCACAGATCTGCCACGTTAAGCAACACTTACTCAGAGAGTTTGAGAAAGCAGCTTTCATTCCTTCATTCAATGAACAATTTGTGAGCAATGTCTGTGCTAGGCACTAGGGATTTTATGGTGAGCAAAACACACACTCTAATAGGAAAGACATGCATTAATTGCATAATCAAACAAGCACACGCATAGTTAAGTGTTATGAAGGAAAGATACCAGGACCTAGGAGGGCACATAACAGGGAGGGATGGCCACATGCAGAGGGGTCTGTCCCAGCCTGGTGTGGTCAGGGGCAGCTTCTTTCAGGAAGTGGCATTTGAGCAGAGGCCTGAGTGTGAGATAAAGTAAGCAGCAGAAGTAGTAGAACGGAGCAGGAGGGAGCAGTTGAGGGAGGCAAACAATCTGGATAAGGGGGGACGGGGCTGGCAGGAGCCTGTGGGAGCATCGGAGGGACCATCAGAAGGGCATCAGAAGGGTGTGTGGGCGGAAACTCAGAGCGAGCGTGGCAGCAGGTGAGGCTGGAGGAGGAGCCGGTCTTGGCAAGCGGCAGGAATCTGGATTTGACCTCAAGTGCATGGGAAGCTACTGAAGAATTTTAAACACAGTGGGGACAGTCTGTGTGTGACATGATCAGATGTGCAAACTCGTTTCTCCATTCTAGATGCATCTAGCGACAAGATGGACTGGGTTTCCCTCCCTACTAGTACTCTTTGCTCTAAGATGCAGAAGGAAGAGGAACTAGAGAAGGATGCGTAGTAGTAATGGGAGCAGAGTGATGACCCTATTGTCTGCTCCTGACCAGGGGCAGCCCGGAGGAGGCAGCAGGGACTGGGATTTAGTGGGGGAGGGGAACTGGGGTCCCTTGCGTCTACCGGCGGGCGTCTCCGGGGTCCCGGGCGCGGGACAGCGGGTGCGGGGTCCCACTTTACCTTGCCCACGTACAGGGGCTCGGTGCCCGTGTACTCCTCCACCACGAAGAACTGGTTCCACACCCAGCCGCGCTTCACGCGGCCCGCGCCCGGCGCGCCGTTCTGCGCAGCCCCGGACGCCGAGGGCGCAGGCGTGCCCGCCGCCCACAGGGGTCCCGGCGGCGGCGGCGGCAGCAGCAGCAGCAGCAGCAGCAGCATCGCGGGCGACAGCGCCGCTCCCACCCGGAGCCCCCGACCGTCGGGCCGCGGCCTCATGCTTGGCCTGCGAGGGGCCCGGGCCCAGGAGCATGGACGGGAGGTACCAGGGCGTCGCCGCTTGGTGGCAGGACGGAGCGGCGCCGCGTCACATGGTGGCCTTAGCGCGGCCGCCGGGGCGCCGCCTCCGACGGGGCACCCGGACAGGCCCGCGGCCCTGAACGCCGCCCAGCCGTGGAGGCGCCCGGCTGGAGGGGGAGGGGCGCGGCCGCACCCGGGGCATGGACGGCCCCCCGGGGTCCCCGCCCGCGCCCCCCTGGCGCCGCCGCGGCCGGATCACCAGGCAGCGCCTTGGCAGCTCCGGAGTCTGGGGTGCGCCATGGTCCCTGAGTGCAGGGGTCCTTCGGGGACGAGAGGCCGTCCGGGCCAGGAGCCTGCGAGAAAAACAAGAAAACATCAGAGGAGGCTCTCTGCGGGGACAGGGCAGGTTGGGTCCACCTTTTTGTCCTTTAGGTACTAATTAGACACCTACTATGTGCCTGGCACTGTGCAGCGTGGGGCAAACAAGACAGAGTGGTTCCCGCCTCCTTGGCCCACGGCTTAGTAGCCCTGCCCCTCCCCCTCCCCCAGCCCTGGCTGTTTCCTTTCCACTCCCGTCGCACACCTCTCCTCTCCCCCGCTCTCCCAGCACGCCCCCTTTCCTCACAGCCCCCGCATCCAGCCCTTTCTTGGTGGTTCTGGGCCAGCCCGGGTGCCCACAGGGGCAGAGACCTTATGAGCTGCTTTCCCTGCCCCCTGGCTGACAATCTCTCCAGCCCGGCCGACCCCATAGAAAACCCCCATCCTAGAGAAGAAGCTGCCCCTTCCAGAAGGGGTCTTCAAGAGCTCCCAGGACCCAGGCCTCCTGGGGGCACAGAGTCCAGCACGCAGCCCACCACCCACCACTCCTGCCTCCCCACAGCAGCACAGAGAGGTCATTCCATCCAAACCAGGGACCCAGAGAAGGCCCACTGACCTCATGTGAGTCCCTGAACACTCCCTTTCACGGGTGGGGCACCTGAGTCCCAGAGGGCCTTGCTTCGAGTCTCCCTGTGTGGCTTTGGGCAGGGTCACATCCCCTCTGAGCTTGCCTTTGGTGTCTCCACACTCCCCAGAAAAACCTTCCTTTCCCAAAGTCTGGAAGACACCTCCCCTTCCTGGACCGGCACTGCCTCCCCAGATCAATCCATCTCTCGTTCCCTCCCTCCATCAGATTCTGCTTTCAGCAAGAAAGGATCTGAGGGACTAACTCCTACTCAAGCCATAATGATGAATAATGGCTTAATGTGGGTGTTTACAGGGGACAGCAATGCTGCTTTCATGGAGGAGTTTCAGGCACGGAGAAGCATTAGCGGAGGTGAGGGGCTCAGTCCCCACTTTTCCTCTCCCCAAGCTCAGTTCAGTTCAACAACTCCATTCCGCTGAGCTTCGACTCTGTGCCAGGTTTGGGCTGGATGCTAAGATAAAGATTAAATAAGCTCACAGTTTAGTGGGGTGAGAGACAAGACCCCCAGTAACGAACAACCTAAATGCCAGGTTGTTTGTGATCAGAGCTGTAAAAGGGTGTGCAGCCTGACTGACACCTGTGGGCCTCAGGGAAGGGAGTGGGCACAAATGTCTGGAAGTGGCAGGTGGGTGGGAGGGCATCAGGGCTGCTTTTCTTGGAGGAGGGGGCATCTGATCGGTGAGAAGAAAGGGATGGGCATTTTGACAGAGGAGTATGCAGCCAGGCTAAGGGGGATCTGGCTAGTTTGGGGAACCAGGTTGGAAACATGAGGTGTGTGGCTAAGCAGAGAATCTGTGAGGGTCTGACCTGGCCCCAGCCAGGTCCTCCTGTGGACAAAGGAAGTGGCTGGACTCTTTGGGGCAGAAGACATGTTGATCACTTCCTGTGACCCAGGACCACAGCAGGTGATTCTCCTACCTTTAACTCAGTAACTCACATGAGTCACAACAACTGTGAAAGTTGGTGTCTTATACCCATTTTGCAGATGCTCGACTCCCCAGTGC